CAATTTTCAAAGCGTACCCTTTAGAAACGTGTTAACATATTGGAAATGTTGAGAAAATCTTACGCTTTGATTCAGTGACCTCTCTATTTGTTGATGGAAGAACACTGTACTGGAAGATTTGTTCCTAACAGAGTTAATGATCTCCTCCTGATCTGACTTCCCCAGTGCAAAAAGAACTGAGTTTGCAAAGAGGTACAAACATCAAGCCCAAAGTTTCTGTGAAGGTGGTCTTTAGTTACAAACCCTGCTAAATGACACATAACATGTCAGGCTGTCATTGTTTTCCAAAAAGTAGTGATTAATACTACCTACAAACAGTGGTCATTTTGGGCATTTTTGGTCAAACGGGCATTTCTTGACGGGTAAAGCAACCAGCTCTAGCCAGAGCTCTTGCGCAGAGCCTTTCATCTGCATCTTCTCTTGAAGTCTTTCACAACGCTGAGCATAGGGCTGGGATGCCTTTTGGGTGGCAGGTTTTAGAAAGCGGGAAGTGTCTGTATGAGCAGTGGTGAACTGCACAGTCTCAGAGCAGTGGAAGTGCCTGAAGACAGAGGGCAAGAGCCACTGGGGATTTCCCTTCCTCCCCATCCCACCCAGGACTCAGCCATTCCCCTGCACACAAGCAGGCAGGGGATGGGATGCTGGCCCAGGCAAGCATGGCACAGAGCTCTTGGGAAAGGAGTGGAGAGCAGGAGGGAGCCACGTGGGCTGCAGGAAGTCACCTGGGACTCCAGCCAAAACAGATGAAACTGCTCCATGGATGGGACAGCCTCCTATGGAAAGTCGCCTGCAGAGAGATGAAGTCTCCTCCAGCAAGCCTGGAGTGATCAGTGGGCGAAGCAAGAGCACAGCCCATGAAATGGGCAAATGCTGGAACTGCTTCTTTCTTGAATATTTATACTGACTGTTATATTTATATATAAACTCTGTAAGATGCTTCTCTCAGCCCCTCTGCAGCTCCATCTTTAAATGGAACAAGGCAGACAAGAGCAAGGCTGGGCTCTAAGGCCTTCAGAGGAGATCAGCAGGCATGCTTCAGGTAATCTGCAGTGACATCTGGCCACAGGGACCTGGACAAGCTTGCACAGCTTCAGTGGCTGTGCTGAAGCTGCAGTCATTTACAATCATTCTTAATTTGGGGCTTCAGCCCAGGCTTCTCAGAAGGTGAAAGTTTTATATGTGTTTCTCTCTGGTGCTCTAGCCCTTAAAGCCACAGCAGTGAGACATTTTTACCAAATCTGATGAAAGATGAATTTAAAGCATGATCCTGTACTGAGCATGTAAAAACGGGACAATTTTATTTGGCTGGCCCACACCCCATGCAGGCACTAAACCATTTCCTGTGACTTTTTATGACAAAAATGTTATTTGTGCCATTTTTAAATCCCAGCAGCCATGTAGAGACAGCACAATGTGGGTGAATGAGGTTCTGCGCAGTAGCAGCCTCACGGCTGACCTAAATGGACTCACCGTGACAGTGCAGAATATGCACAAATCTCTGGAAACTTCAATTCCTGGAGGGTTCTGGGATATCCTGATTCTGCAAACACCAATTTTAGCAAATTGGCTCCAGTCTCCCTTAAAGACATGTTTGAAATGTGTAATTTTAGCTTTGAAAGGAAGTATTTAGCTCAAGAGTCAGGAACACGCTTCAGATGAAAGGTCTTATTTCCTCCTCTATTGAAATGATGCCAATACAAGTTTAGGAGGAATTTTAAGGAAATTCAGTTAGATTTGCATACCACCTGCTGCAGATCAAGCTAAATCAATTCTGTTTCTTTCTTTTTTAGCCCTGTTTTCATAAATAACAGAGAAAGTATGTACATAGAAGATTCCTGGTATCCGAAGAGCTATACTCTCTCCGGCAATATAATCCTCATCTATTATGGCTGAATACCTTGAATTATCGTGGCAGTGATGTTATCCACAAAAATGTAGCCATGCCATTCAAAATCAGTCTGTGGCTGACGGAGTCTTAAGGAGAAAATAAGGAAAGAGGCACTTTAAGAACCTTTGCCTGACTTCAGAGCTTTTTCTGAAGTCGAGAGGATTGTGTTAAGAACCCGAACCATCGTGACTCATATATTCCTAATCAAAATGTTGGGTGCGTGAGAAGCTGTTCAGTCACACAGAGACTAAATTGTCTCCTTACAGGAGGAAAATAATACACACAAGAGGAAGCACTTAAATAATTGATGTGCTCTTCTTTTATCTGTGTGTAGGAATGACAGTAAATCTATGTACCTAGCACTAATGGGGAGCATCAGTATGCCAATAATTGCTAATGGCAAAGAAATGCGAGTGTGATAGTCCTGAAGTGGCTGATCCTTATTTTTGCTTTATCTACCCATGTTACAATGGTAAATTGATGGTGTAAATTTTAGAAGTCTGCTCACTAATATGTCACTTTGATAGTAATGCTCACAAATGCCTTTTTTGGTAAGAATTCAGTCCAAAATGCTTGTACAGTTACTTAGATTTAATCTGCCATCTGACAGCTAGGATCCTTCTTTTATGTCTTCTGTGCCACATTCAAAAGACAATGTAAAACTTTGTTTGCAACACATGTTTAATTTTCCATTACAAATCAGAGAAACAGCGCAGCCACCCTGGAATCAAACATAAACCAGAGATTTAAAAACCCAGTGCTTTCATCCTGAAAAACTGCACAACCATTTGCAGTGCAGAAGTGGGATATTCCTACTGAATAAAGCTTCTTGTTGAGAAATTATTGGTGTATCGACCCATTCACATCCAGCTATTTAATTCAAAGATTGTATTGAGCACTTCCCTCTGGGTTGCTTGTCTGAGGGAACAATTACGCAGCTGTTCTTACTACATTCTTGTGTGGGCAGAAAGCACTGTAAAAATCCTGGCATGAGTTTACAGTAAGTACAACCTCCAGTTCGCGGGCTGTTCATTAGGCGTACTCTTTGCAAGGAGGTTGGCGAAGCGATACGTAGGCTTGACACTAATATTCTGCTTTGGCTAAACTTATTTATAGTTGCGTGCCTGTTTATGCTCAGACACATGCACACGGCTGTCCAGGTTGTGTTATAAACAGAGCTCGAGATCCCTGCCACGTTGCTTATGGTACACACCACTACAGCAACTCCTTGCAGCTATGCTGCCTGGCCACTTTCAAAACCAGGAGTTTTAGAAGTACAGCACCCGTCTCACTATGCTGATTGGGCTCAGCAGAGTGGTATTTCTGCATGGCTGGACACTAAGCATTATTTTAGCAAGTTTTATGATGGGTTTCTTGCAACCTTTTCAATGGAGTTTTTGCTGTTGAAGTTTTAAACTCTGAAATAGCTGGTAAAGGAGAAGCAGCCACAAAGGGAGTTGCGTGATTTCAAAGCCCCCTCGCAGGAAAAGCCCTCCATCACTCTGCTCCTCCAAGGTCTGCTCACAGATCCTGCAGAAGGGCCACCTCCCAACTCGTACACCACTGGGAGAGGGAGGTGAGGGATGAGCCCTGGGGCTGGGCAGGCTGCTGGGAGGCCCTGGGTTGGGTGGATTTGGGGGGAGGAGAGGGAAGCATACCTGCCCCTGGCCTGTGCCAGAACATTTCTGACCTGTGTCCGCACCTACACATCTCTGCTGGCTCCTTCTCCGCCTAGCAAAGTGCTGCTGCACCTACAGGAGCTTTTCTGAGGGCAATCTCCCGGGCCCTCAGTGGGGAAGATTGAGATATCAGGAGCTCCTGCACACAGCATGCTCTGCGTGCTCAATATCAGTTTCATCAGTAATATCAGATGCCAGCTAAATACTGTCACTGTCATCCTGAAATATCCCACCCTCGGCTCAGAGTGCTTAACAAGCAAGCACAGGCCGGGCCCTTAAAATCAAAGCCGGCTCTGCCGAAGAAGGGAAGCCTGGTTCTCAGATCAGCCCTTTGACAGGGTGGGCGAGGAAAGCCCATCCCCAGCTCTCCTGCCTTCAGACAGCGCTGGTAGCTGTGTGACGGCGCAGGGAGCTGTGCATGGTGCAGTTCACTCTGCATTGCATACATAATTTATAATTTTCCAGTGGTTTTGATTGCACATTTTTGGACATGGGGTTGCTTTCGTAAAATGGAAGCAGAGAGAGAATTAAAAAAAAAAAAAGAAAAAAAAGAAAAAAAAAAAAAAAAAAACACCTCTGCTGCAGCTGCCTTCTGTAGTCCCCTGTTTTAGCTGAGACCCTCATCTCTGACACACGGCCTTCACAGGCCACAAAACACAAGCACTGCACACTCTGCATGTGTTTGTCTGTATACACAAATACCTGAAAAGATCAATGCTTCCCATGGCACAAGAACAAAAAAGAATAAAAAAAAAATGTTTTCAGTGGTCCATGCCTTTATTAGCAAAATGCCTTGGCAGAGAGTTGCTCCAGCATTACAACAGTTTCCTGTCACGCCAGCAGCATAGCGGGTGTTTACAAGACGTACAGAAGTTACAGAAAAAGCAGCTGAGAACCACGCTGCTTTCTGAGCTCAGTGAAGTTGGGCACATACAGCCATACGTGCCCGTAAAAGCCTCCTCCAAAAGATGCAGGCAAAACATGCGAAGCCCTGACTTTGGAAACACGGTGCGCCTCTGTTTCCTCTCAGCACACAAACCACTCGCCGTACATTTATCTGCCCTTGCTGCGTCCGCAGCCGTTGCTGCGGGTTTATCAGCGCGCTCCCACCACGCGCCCGCGGTGCGCTTGCTCCTGGGGGACCCGTTCCCAAAAAATCCCCCACGGGAGACGGAGACGGCAGGCACCGACACCGTCACCCTCACCCCTGACAGATCCAGGGGCTGGCTGCCCACGGTACCCAGCCCTTCCTCTTCCTCACCCTTGTGCCCTGCGTGGGCCCCAGGCTGGTGGCGGGGGGCTTCTTGTTGCCCCGTGGCGGTGGCCAGCCGGTGGGCTGGTGTGGGGCTCTGCAACCCGAGAGCGTGCGCTAGCCGGCGGGACGCTGCGGTAAATATAAATCTGGCTCTTACCCACGGGCAGTCCCTCGCAGTCAGACATCGTGCGAGAAGCGCTCCTGGCCAGGGGCTCGGGAAAACCACGGCGAACAAACACCCGCGCGGGTCCTTCTGCTGGCGGAGGCAGGAGGGGGGGAAATATCTACGGATTTACAGCCACCCGGCTCCTCCACGGTACATCTAACCACCCAGAGAGCTGTAGCAACAGTCCCGTCTCTGCCTTCTCATTATGGGATGTAAAGATAAGAATGTGCTTTTGTGCCAAAAGAGTGTGCTATTGGTGGATAAATTTGTTGTCATCCCTCCCCTTCACGGAGTTTCCTCTTTAATGTCACAGAGGCACATTACCCGGCCCGAAAGGCCATAGAATATTTATGAAACAGCTTTTAAGAGCTAAGCTGCGAATCCGCAGCAAAGGAGGGGGCTGAGGGCTGCGGTGGGAGCAGCACTGTCCCTGGGGGGACGCAGGCGGTGGCTGCTCCCCTCCTCTACAGCTGCTGGCAAAACGAGGGTGGGAGCTGGGAGAGGGGCAGGGGCTGGAGCACGGCTGGTTGCAGGGGCAGAAAAATAAATCCGCTTTGGTTTGTGCTGTAAGATCGGAGAAATGGTACTTGTGACACTGTTTGCTGTCCCACCTTGTGTGTTTACCAGTGGCAATGTTCTGAGTGCAGATTTCTTGGTAACTTTTTGTCACTTTTGCTTGCTTAAAATATGCAGCTTTGGTGAAGTGAAGCATTTCATGGCTACCCCTACAGCTCAACTTTTTAATGTCAGTAAATGGATTCTGCTTGATATGAAATTTCTAGACCTTTCAGCCAGGTCTGGTCAGCAGTGAGGATCCCTGCACACTGGCACAGTCTTGGCTACTTAATGAATAGAAAGCAATTCATGTCACCAGTACCAGGGCTCTGTTGAGGTGGCCAGACACAACCACCCAGGACAAGGAGCTGCCAGAGCCCTGGGTGACATATTGCTTCAAAATACCTTGAAGGGAAAAAAAAAAAAAAAAAAGAAGAAGAAAGAAAGAAAGAAAGAAAGAAAGAAAGAAAGAAAGAAAGAAAGAAAGAAAGAAAGAAAGAAAGAAAGAAAGAAAGAAAGAAAGAAAGAAAGAAAGAAAGAAAGAAAGAAAGAAAGAAAGAAAGAAAGAAGAAAGAAAGAAAGAAAGAAAGAAAGAAAGAAAGAAAGAAAGAAAGAAAGAAAGAAAGAAAGAAAGAAAAAAAAAGCGCTTCATTAAGGCTTGATTTGTATGAATTGTACTAGGTGCTCAGTATGCTCAGCACCGCTGAAAGAGCTGGGCCATTTTTATCAAGGTGCTTCACTCTCAGCACTCAGCAGTGTGGCAAGCTGTAGCATGGCTTCAGCTCAGAACATCAGGCCAGTGACTACAAAAGCTAGAAGAGCTGCAAATCTTCCCAAAAGGACACCTCAGGTTCCCTTCAAAGGTTCTGGAGAGCAGGATGGGGGTCCTGGGGCTTTCTGTCCCAGTGCTGGTGGAGTTTGCTGGCATGGAGCTCTGCGGGCATTATTCTGCCGTGGACATCATGCCAAGGCATCATGCTCATCCCCTCCATCCTTCTGCCACTGGCAGGCTCAAGGAGCAGTCTCTAATCTGGGAGATATGGAGCCATGGAGGTGTCCAGACTCAGTCTCAATGCATGTCTGGGGAGAGTAGAGGGGCTAAAACAGACCAGAGGACTCTTCCTCCCATGCAGTTTCACTGCAGAAAAGTTTTGCTCCGACATGTGTGTGGATTAAAGCTTGTTAGCTAGATTCTGTCCCAGCACAGGCTCCCAGCTCTGCAGGTGTTTATGTGCCAATTGAACCTCAAGCCCCATCGAAGTCCCTGGAACCACTCAGTTATAAAGTTAAACATGTGCCTAAGTGTTTGCAGAATCAAGGGCTCACCATCCCCACTCGCACTCACGGAGCAAGCAGCTGCAGCTGATTTTGAAGTCACCTCTCACAGCTGTGTGCTCCTCTGCGGAAGGTTGGAGCCCTGGAGCAGAGCTGGATGAGTGCCTGCAGTGAAGTCACGCCAAAACGCAAACCGGTGGCTTGGCTCAAGCTCGTTTTCACCAGTGGTTTAAGAAACCTGTGCCTCAGTCACCCCGCTTACATTGCCCTTGGCTGAGTCCGCTACGGGGCTCAGCATCTTCTGGAAGAGGGGTAGAGAAGCCAACAGAGAAGACAAGGGGAGAGGACAGAAACATTGTCAGCTATTACTGCAAAGCTGGCAAGAGCTCACCTGCCAGAGCCATGAGGAGCATTTGGCACCCACCTTCCATGGAGCCTCAGGAGAGCTCTGCCATGAAACACTAACATGGGAAGGTAGCCACAGGGTCAGGGGTTGAACAGAGCACACCTAGCTCTTAGGATAATTCTCACCAACACTTACTCAAATAAGGACTATAGGATTATTTAAATTAAAGTTTTTGCTTAGATCCCTTGGTATTTTGGTTATAGAGTTATTTTTGGTATGACTTTTTATTTTTTTAATAAGAGACAAACGAAGTATTTCTTTCAACTTTCTCTGTTTTTCAGGCTGAAAAGAGCCATGCTTGCTCCTGGAGAGAGGCCAAGCCTGGAAAACTTAAGTCTGAAAGGAGAAAGTTTGGGGAATTTATGAATATGCCTGGTGTCTGTCATGGTAAAAAAATTTAAAAAAAAAATAACGAAACAATAAAAGGTGAGTGATAAAGAACACATTACTTTAGTAAGTTTTAAGCTAATGCGAAAAATGTGCTAAATATCTGTCAATAACTGCTCTCACTTGGGCTTTCTGAGGAACTCCTCTGCAAAAAAATCAGTGACAAATACAAGGAGAGGGGAATGGTAAATTTAATCTCTGGAAGGAAGGTAATGGAAAAATTCCTAAAGGACTCACTGGTCTCCTGTGGAAGAGAGCTGCATGGCCCTGATGTGTCTTTAAATGCTTCATGGAGCTGGAAGAAAAGCAGCAGGGTGTGCAGGGTGCTGAGCTCATGTCCTGGCAAAAAGGGCAGTGTGTTCAGCAAAGGTACAGAACATCACAGAGCCCTGCACAGTACCTGCACATGGCCTCTTTACACCAAAAGCAGTTGCTAGAGTGGCCACATCCCTCTCTGGAGCTTTCCAGGAAGAAACATAAACATCTTGCCTGGTGTTTATGCCACAAATCCTGCAGGTAACCCAGCTGTGCGGTACGTCTGGGCTGTGGAAAGGGCTTCTGAGGTGCCCCAAACCTGGGGCTGAGCAAATGTGCTTGGGAAAAGAGGATGTGTGGGGAAACCTGGGTGCAGGGCAGCCGTGACAGCGCCAGTAGGCAGTCCTGTTGGTGCCCAAGACGCCTGCTGTCCTGCTGGCTGCTTCTAAGCCCAGGTGGCAGCTTTGTGAGTGAGCAGCAGACTCTCATAAACACGAGCTGCCAGCTAAATGAGTGAGACAACACGTAGTGGGACTGGGTTTCTAACCTAGAAGCGTACATATCCCATTAGGCTTCTGATCTAAGTGCCTTTGGAAATCAGGTCTTTAACATCATAAATCTCTCAGGACTCATAACAATTTTTGCTGCAGCCCAAGGGGCTCAGTCATCTGGCTGCGCAGAGCCAGCCTCACCTGCAGGCTCCCAGCTGGAGCCACGGGGGCTTTGCTCCTGCTGAACAGCTGCAGATGGGTCCAAACGTCTGCAGAAGCTTGGAGCTGCAGCTCTCGCTGTGGGATCGAGCACCCTGCGTGCTAAAATTACTGGTGGAAGGGCTTTGCTAATCTCATCACCGATGTAGGAGCATGGAGGGTTGGTCTCATTCCTGTGCACTTCTCTCCCCTGGCAGAGGGAAACAGGGGGAACGAGAGCCATTTCAGCTAACGAGGTCAGACCTGATTATTCAATCTGCAATTTTCTGTAGGGCTGATGCAAACGCCTTCCTGCCCAGTTCAGCAGGAGCTTCTATCTCACATCAGCACGATTTCCACGCAGTTTAAACGGAGAATGGCTGAGACGTGCTTCTCCCCTCTAATTTATGCAAATTCCGCTGGATTTTTCCCTGCTGTGTGGCAGAGATTTCTGCCTGTTGGTACTGGGGGATTCACAGCAAGCAGGGGGAGGGGAGGGATGGGGCTGGAGATTGGGATGGAGAAGGAGATGCAGGGTGATAGAAGCACTCAGTGCATGCTTGACACCGACAGGTATGGTCTCCAGCTGGTGGGACATTCACAGAGCTCCACCTGTGCTTGCAGCAGTGGTGGACGAGCTAAGCATGCCTGCCAGCCCAGACAGACAAACTGAAAAACTCAGCATGTGCTTCAAGTGTCAGCTCCTGGTGCTGGTCTGTGCTGGCAGCCAGTGTCAGGAATTTGCTAGCAAAGCCTGGTTTTCCCCTTTGAAAAACCCTGAAACTGGTGGAAAGGGCATAGACCCTTTTGTCCACTCATGAAGGTGGTAAAACTGACAGCAGGGCAATGTAATAGTTATGCTTCAGCTCTTTATCACCAAAACAGCAGAGAAATGGCTACAGAGCTGCTGTTGTGCATGGCGATTCCTGGCTTTCCCTAGGAAAGTGGAGAGGTTCAGACTAGGAGCCAAGTGCTCAGAAAGTCCTGGTAACTGGGATTTTATTTCATTATTGTTTTCTGACACATCCTTTTCACATCTCAACTTGATGGATGGGGAGCGTAATGATGTAATTACAAGAGCAGTGGATGCACTGACAGGAGCTCGTGTGGGTGTATCCTAGGGAAAGGCAGTGAAAAAAGGCAAGATACAGCTGACAGTTCGGACAGTCCTCCAGGAAACAGCAAACACAAAAGTAACAGCAAGAACTAGATATATCATCATTTTGTGTCTGGGAGACCTTAGTGTCAGTCTGGTGGTATTTATTTTATTTTATTTTATTTTATTTTATTTTATTTTATTTTATTTTATTTTATTTTATTAATAGGATTTTCATTAGTCACAATTGAATCTGAGCTTTGTATTCAAGAAAGGAAACGTCTCCATCATCTCCTCTGATGTCACCCTGGAGAGAAGATTAGAAGATTAACTGTGTCAGGTGACACCAACCCAGCGGCAGTGAAAATAATTTTGCACGTTCAAAGAGAGAACGAGGGAGAAATTCCGCCTGTCTCCAAGAAGTCTTACTGGTGACAATTGTTGGCTCGCAAACAGCACATTTTATGCAAATGTGCAGATATACAGTAAATAAAATAAGAAGATCAAAGACTTGGAGGAGGATTTATCTTAAAGAAGTGGATGGTCTGAATCTGAGTGGCATTTTAGCCTCATCTAATTTATAAGCAGTTGCATTTTGAGGAAATAAGTCAAAAAAGGCCATTGAAATTATGTGAGGAAATATAAAAGCTACAAATAGAGGATAAAATTGACTCATGAGCCATCACTGTTGTTGCTGGCAATGTCTCCTAACACACCTGATACCAAAATGAGTATGTGCCCTCGAGTCCACCTAGCCTGGTGCTCAAGGGACTGCACAAGCAGTCAGAAAAGGTGAGTGTGACTGCAGGAACCTGGCTTTCAGCATCTGCTGATACAAGCACACAGCTCATTGCTGGCAGGCTCTGCAGGACTCACCCAGAACAGGAGGATTGAGGCAGAATCTGTTTTCCCATTGATACGTGGCAGATTTTCATGCACAACCGCAATTAGCATTAATGGGATTTCCTTCTGCAGACGTTCCAGGTGTTATTGAAGAGCCTCATGGTGAACATAAAAAGCAAAAACGAAATTATACAATTAGGTCGGATCTTGCTGTTTCTGGTTTTAATGGCATTATTGCGGTTTATTTCGTCGGGATTGAGTCTTGCACAGCTGAGTGTAGCTGCATTCGCTCTGCACAGATCTCGTGGAAAAGGGAGTGTTGAGCTCTGAATGTAAATATTATGGTATCAAGTGGTGGGTTTGAAGAGAAGGTGAGAGTCTTGCAAACCTGATTTGGCAGCTGCAAAAATAACACTTGGGCAAACAGATGGTCTCTGCAATAAGGGAAGTCTTTAAAAGATTCACAAATTAATGAGCTCTGCCAGGTTTTTAGTGGTTCCTACCAAAATTCCTATAAATCAGCCAACCGGGCAGGAAGGTGGGGGCGGGAGGAATCAATAAGTTCCCCGGACAGCTCGTATATCCAAGGTTAGCTGACAAAAAGGCTTCAGAGCTGGAAAATCCCAAGAGGAATTAAGGAGGTGCAATATTATCCCTTCAGAAGGCAAAAGCCACAGCGTCAGTCATGTGCTGTGAGTGCTCTGGGGACTAATTGCAGCCGTCCGTGATCAAGGATATCGGCTGGGTGATAAAGAAAGGTGAGGTGTCACACACTGAATTATTGGCTCATCCTGGGAGCACCAAAACTTGGTGTGAGGAAATGAAAGCCTCCTCCTTCAGCTGCAGGTCAATAACCACTGATGTGCTCCTCCAAAGCAGCTGCTGGCTCCACAGCACTGGGTGCAGGCCTGCCGGGCAAGGAGACAGAATTAATTAAGGAATTGCTAATGGAATCAGAGCTGAACAGCAGGGGAAATTATTCATTAGGTTATCTATGAATTTTGTACCGTGGCGCAATACGATCCACTTTACAACCCACTTTCATTTGCTTCTTTGCAAACATTTGTCAAGGGTGCCTGACAGCAGGAACGACCAGGGAGGAGTTTTCATTCTTAGTCATGTGGGGACGCCTCCTTCTTACAATAAACACAGCCACAATTAACGGAAGCGGTGACCTTGCTGGCGATTTCTGCAAAAAGGACAAGACTCCATGGGAATAGCAAAGAAAGCAGATTATTACCACTTTGTAAGTCAGGCTGGGGGTGAGGAGAGCTGCTGGGGCAATCGTAAGTCTCCTGCTGCCACCACAGGGATGCAGAAGCCCCAGCAGGGCAGGAGATGACTTTCCCAAGGTCACCCAGCAAGGCCAGGGCATTGTGGCAGGGGAGCCTGGTCCTGCTACAAAATAGGTGAGGGACAAGCGGGCTGTTACTAAACCAGGCTGTCAAACTGCTGTGCTGCTTGCAAAAAGGAAAGTCTCAAGAAGCCAACTTGCTGACTGTTGATAAAAAAAGAAAAAAAAAAAAAAAAAAAAAAAGGCAGAGGGAGAGGGGTCCATCCAATGCTCATGAAGTGCTGAATGCCCACAGCTTGGGCAGCACAGTGGCTTGTCTGGTGTCTGCCCAGCCAGAAGTTACCACTGTGACTAAATATCTTAGGACCTTCCTCAAGATACTCAGTGCTCCTGCAGCAAGGGTTTCTTTCAATGCATGGCCAAATGCCACAGCCTGCCCCAGGAGCCAGAGGAAGAGCAGGTGGAAGGTTTAATGCTTTAAAATTGTAGGGACAAGCTTCCTTGGAATTTCCTGATTTGATGCATGAAGCTGCTGCTTCCTCCTCAGACTCCCACTGTCATCCTGGGCTGATCTGAGGACTGGACGTCTCCCGTTCCCATTTCTGTACAGAGACATCGCACACTGGCTGCCTGGGGCACTCAGGGGAATCCCAGGGCTGTGACACTCATCGAGGGAGCAGCAGAGCCAGGGGCTCCCACCCCAGGGCAGTCAAAGCCTCACGGCCCCTGGGCTGCTTCGCGCAGGCCTGAGCTGTGTCCACGCCGTGCCTTTACCCCCTGGGCACACAGCCAAGCCAGCCTTCCCTCTGTGCCCTGGGTCTGCTCCTTAACTGTATCGATCTGCAGAAATGACATGAACTGGTAGAAGCAGGCAGGCACTTGTCTCTAAAAACCCTGGGATGCAGGAAATCAGTGGGGCCTGATCGGAGCAGAGCCAGATGGGCCCAAGTGCAGCCCCAGGCCGCAGCTGCAGCAGGTAACGTGGGCTGGTCAGGGATCCTGGTGTCCTTGAAGCACTGTCAGTGTGTAGTTCCTAACATTTCATCCCAAAATTATATGTATGTTAACGTTTCTATACGACACTTAACTTTACAGAACCTCATTAATGAGGTGTTAAGCTCACAAGGAATAGACCAGAGAAGTGCAAAGGCTAACAATTAATCCACTGTTGATATCTTTTAGTTTAGAAAGCAGCAGAGGCCTTAGAGCAATCTGTCTCGCAGCAGAGCCCACATCTAAGGAAATTCCACGTATGGTCAAATGTCAAGTTGTTTCTTTTGCAAAGGGCAATGTGGCAATCGTATTTCCATTTGGAGAGTTTTTCCTTGGAGCTGAGTTTTTCGGGGGGGCAGGGGAGGGAGAGGGGGCCAAGCACAGTTTTCCTTTGAGCACGCATGCATTCACAGACCTCGCTGCTTGTTTCCCAAAGGTTACATCTCCCTTCTCTGGGGGCACAGCGTCTGAGCAAGGCACACCTTCCCCAGATCCCACCTAAGGTCTGCTTGGTCTTCCCAGAGCCCTTGGGAAGGCAAACACTGCTGGCACCACAGCAGCTGGGACTCGCATCCACCCATCTATGGGCAGAGCTTGGCCCGGCACTTTCTTGCCAGTTCAATGTCCCTTTTCATCACTGCTTCCTCAAGAAACATGATTTGCACAGTCCCTTCCATAATAAATCCTAAAACCGATGACAAGCTCCGAGCCCCTACACTTTTCAGAAAATAGCTGTGGCTCAGTAAAGGGCAGAGATCTGCCTGATTTAAGGCTGCTGCACCAGAGGAAGGCTGGCAGCATGAAGGGGTTTCCATCCTGGTAGCAGCAAGCAGCAAGCAGCCAGGGCCTGGCTGTCTGTGCAGCCACAAAGAGCCCCAAATCTGGCCCTGCTGCTGGCACAGCTGGGGTGATGGAGCAGTGGGATGAGAGTGAGAGTCCAGGAGGGGTTCTCTTTGTTCCTCCATCACTTTCACCTTCCTCCCTGACCTTGTTTCCATCGCCAGCCCCTCTGCAGTGCTGAGGGATGGGGAGGCACAGCTTTTCTCACTGTAGACCCCTCTTCCCAGCCATATTGCTGATCCACCATGCCTCCACAAACCTCAGGGAGAGCCACCAGCTCTCGTCCCATGGCTCCTTTCAGTTTCCCTGCTCCCTGCTATTTATTGCTCGGCGGTGCTCAGGGCAGGAATGCAGCCTGCCTCTGCAGCCCAGCAGGCTAAGTTTAGTTCATGGCCCTGCTAGCGATTGCCTCCGTGACACTAAACAAGAGATTAAATTTCTCCGTGCCTCAGTTTCCCTCTGTAAGCCATAGATAGCAAAGTTTCCTTTTGTAATCTGTCCTGGGCAAGAGCTGCTTCATCCTGCTTGTTTACACTGTGCGTATTATTGGAGTTCCTGCCCTGGCTGAGATCTCAGCTACTTCTATAATTAGTACTTTCATGCTGTGTTTTCATTAAAGGTCTCGTTATGCTTTTGATACGGCATACAAAATACTAACCAGAGTTGAATTGTAATTCGTCACATTGTAATTTTCTATTTTGTTTGGAGTTCCGTTTGAATTGTAATTCCCTCACAAAAAAATGATCCTGGGATTGGTTGTGCAATTCTAGACATTGCAAGTGATAACAGCACTTGTGTGAGGACTGACGTGGCCACAGGAAGTATGTCAGTCTTGGGCTCCCTGAGAAAAAATCCTCTTTTGGAGATGTAACCAGAGACGTAGCCGTCAGTGCTTTGGAACTGAGATGACAAGAGTCTTTCCTTGCAACAAGAGCAACAAGGAAAGAGAAACTGTTATTTATGAGCTGAAGACTTGGCTTGATGCTGTCTCTTTAAAAAAATGTTCCAACAATACATTAAAAAGCAAACCTCTTCTATCACATCCATATTTCATCTGCACCTTGGAACTGTAATTAATGGCACAGGAGGCTTCATTTGACAAGCTGTCCTCAGGGCAGACTTTTTACTTCTATCTACATCAACAGTGCTCTCCACCACTGCTTCCCTTGGCAACACTCTTCCTCCACTGCTCCCTAGCAGAGAGGAGAGCAGATGCACGGCTAATCCACATTTTTCTCCCTACTGATGAAAACTTCCCTTAGATACAATAGGACAAAAGAGAATAATTTTTCAAAGATAGAAGAAGATGCACGGGGACACACACAGCATGAGGTGAAGAGAAAACTCTGGTTTGCAAAGCCTGCCTGCTGGGTGAAGCAACCACTGCTAATTCAAACTAAATACGATCTAAATTAAACACCAGGGGCCACATTAGTCCCTGGTGCAGCACCAGTTACCCAACGGCAGATGATCTGATTTCACTGAAGTTATGCCAGGGCTGAATTTGACCCTCAGCATTACGTGGTATCTATGATTACGGCCAGGAAATCTGAAATACATATGCACACCTAAGCACAGATGCTGGCTGTGGCTGATGCTCTAAAACATTCATCTGCTTTCTCAGCTCTTGACCCTTCACTATCCCCGATGAATAGTTTGAGCGGTCATTTACCTCCGTCTTCAGGAAAAGGTTACAGAGGCTTTCTGAAGATATGTGGAGCAGTAAAGCAATCCATATGTTCATGTACACACCAAATGTTGGATGGACTGGATTTTTTCTGACCAATTCAAATGCACAAATAATAACAACATTAATAAAGCGGTAACCTTTTCACAAGATCTGTCTGCTGTAATGTGCATTACCGCGATGTGTGCTGAACCCAAAGCAAACGGACCCGCAGCAGGATAGAGCTGCAGAAGTTATCTCCAGGAGGAACCCAGGAACCACAGGATCTAACAGACTTTTAGATGGTGAATTACAGACCTTAGGCGACAAGCAGGAAAGAAATTGGCACGACCCCCCACAGGGCCAGCTCTGGTGCCTGTTGCCTGCTTCCCGCACAGCCCCGGCTCCTTGCCAGCAGGGCCGGGCAGGCACGCGGCACCCGGTGCTGCAGTCAGTGGGAGCTCTGCCATCAGCCCTCAGTGTGCCGGGCCAACGCCGAGCCGTATGCAACACTTACAGCTTGGCACCAGACCTCTCACAGTCCCCTCAGCACTTTGAATGCCCATCAGTAGAGTTCAGTGTTCGGTGTTCTGGCTGCTTTTGCTCTGTATTGAATTGTTTCTTATGGAATCTGACAAAAGCTAAAGCTTCTAGCTCCCCTTATCAGTGAGCCAGACAAATAAAATCTCAAAGATGGGATGGCTGTGCAAACTCGATCTCTTGGATGTGGTTTTATAAAACCTTGGCCAAAACCTGGCTTTCTGTTTTGGCCCTGTTTCTGGATTGCATCTGGATTTAATTTGGCTTTTGGATCTTCCAGGCAAAGATTTCATTATTTTGGGTAATTTATCTCCAGCTTGTTATCTTTTTGTTATCATTACCTAAACTCTCTCACTATGTAATATAATACTGCAAAATACTGTCTCATGCGTACACCTCTAGCCCTAGAAATTTAGGAAAAGTATCACTGAATTTATTGGTATCGTTTGTTGCAAGATTGGTGTTATGCAAAAATAAGGTAACGTATCAAGCCTTGAAATTCAGGCTCTTACAGATACTTGATGTTTCCAAAATGACATTTGGGCTTGGTACCCAAAAGCTGCAAGAACTAGCAGGGCTGTTATTCTCCTGGTCAGCTGCCTTGAGTGAGTAAGACAGGAGGATGTAGGGGAATATGAACTCGAGGCAGCAGCACGCTATAAATATTTTTGTAAGAATCCAAAACCTAGCTACACTTTTGCAGGCTGGCCTTGGAGCTGGAGAAGCACAGAGGCTTTTACATGGGGAAACAGCCCCTTGGCAGGGCTGGAGCGCAGCAGTAGCCCACTGCCTGTGGGTCTGGTGCTAGGGCTCA